AGTTTTATGAGATTAATACTAAGATTAACTAAGAATTTAGAGCTATTGACTAATGACAATCGAAGCAAGGAATAAGCAAAGATAGATATCTATGGGAGAAGATAGGATTTTGATAGGATAGGTGCAAGATAATTGTTTGGGATTTAACTCTAGTTAATTCACTTCTAATGTTCAAGTGAGTCTCTCGAATTCACTTGATTATTAGTTCAATTGTTTAGTAGAAACTCTTCTCTCGATTAAGTCTCAACCTCACACGATGAATCAATTTAAGCTTTGTGAAGATATGCAAGAATGCGTAGTGGATTAGTTTTTAGGAGAACCTTTCTCGATTATCCTCCTAACTAGGTTTAATCAATAATTCAACTAGCCTCTTCCGATTACTAAGAAGAATTAATGAATTCAACCAACAATATAATGCATGAATATCACAAGTTATGCCTCTCTCGATTACATGAACAAGTGAATATAGATGCAACAATTAAATCATCCAAAAACGTGTCATTACATAAAACTAGAGTTAATATCCACAAACAAAGATCAATACACCAAATCCATCAAACTCTAAAGGGAACTACTCCATAGATATGGAGCAATTCATCATAATTATAATAAAAGTAAAGGAAAACATAAATTCAATCCAAACTCGGGTCTTGAGTGAGGAAGGAATGATGAAATCCTTGTGCTTTTGCTCCTCCAACTCCTCCTTTGCTTCTTTAGGTCGAATATGTGTCCAAAATCCAGAAAATAATGTTTTCCCATGTATATATACCAAGTAGGGTCGGGCCCAGACGAGAACACCTTCTCCTAGCCGAAATAGGACTGTAGCTAAATTGTATAGGCGCGCCGCATGAGGCGACGCGCTACGCGGGGCAGCAGTGGGAAACTTAAGAGAGCTTGCAATTTGACAGGCAACAGAAAATAGGCAGTTGCGGCGCCCCACGTGCCGCGGCTATGGAGGTTTCTCAGAGTGAACCTTTTTCACTCGCTTTTTGATATCCAGGCTTGGTCCTTGACCCCTGAACGCGATCCCGACTTAATTTCTTGGGCTTTTACTCAGACTTCAAAGCTCTAAATAGCTCGAATAAGCTCCATAACATCTTCATCACTCAGAATCACTCCTACAAGGCATAAAACACACAATAAGTACAAAACACTAGCGATTAAAGCTCAAACACAATTAAAGTGCAGTAAATCAGAGTGCAATAAGTGACTAAAACACGAGATTATAGCCTACAATCGATGCGCGCGCACACACACACACACACTATATATATATATATATATATAATAGTAAATAATAATAAGAAAAATAGTAATAATATTAAAAATTCTCTAGCAAATTTAAAGCCTATTCCTAACTAGTAAGTATCACCTATATAGATCTTTTTCTTCCATTGTGCCCTATTTTTAAGTCTGCATTGATTCCAAGAATTTATAGGTCGTTCGAGGTAACTTTCTCCATGTGATTTTAGGTCTACCTCGTCTCAAGGGGCCTTCTCTCATTTTATCCCCAATGCGTACTACTTGCACCTTCTAATGAATGTGGTCGTTTTTAATCTTATCTAATCTTGTATGATCGTGCATTCGTCTTAGCATTCGCATCTATACAACATTCATCTTGCGGGTATGTTCGGAGTTTAGCAATCCAACATTCACTACCATATAACATTGTTGGTCTTATACTCGTTCTATAGAACTTCTCTTTCACTTTGGTAGGCATCCTTCTATCACATAACACTCCGTTAGCACTTCTCCTTTTCAACCATCTAGTTTTAATCCTATGAGTAACATTGTAACGACCCGATCGGTCGTTTTGAGCATTCGCATTTTCATTTTGTGATTTGAGGTCGTGAGTAGATTTATATGATGTATTATGACTTGCGTGTATGGTCAGTTTTGGTTTTCGAATGGTTCGAGATTGATTTGGAAGAATGATTCTCAATTTGGATGCTTTGAGTTGGAAGAGTTGACCAAGTTTTACTTTTGTGTATTTGACCTCGGATCGGAGTTTTCATGATTCCGTTAGATCTGGATGGTGATTTTTGACTTAGGCGTATGCCCGAATTCGTATTTGGATGTTTCTAGAATGTTTTGGCTTGAATTGGCGAAAGTTGGCAATTTGAAAGTTTGGAAAATTCATAGGTTTGATCAGGAGTTGATTTCGATGTCATCGGGTTTGGATTGTTGTTTCGGGAGTTGGAATAGGTTCGTATGTCATTTGGAACTTGTGGGCAAAATTTGATTGAAAATTTGAAATAGTTCATTAAGCTTGATTTGAGGTGCGATTCGTGGTATTGATGTTATTTCGTGTGATTTGGCCTCGAGTAGGTTCATGTTGTGTATTCGGACAGGGTCTCGAAGGGCTCGGGTGAGTTTTGGATCATTTTGGGGCATGTTGGTTATTGTTGGTTGGCAGGGATCTGGTGTGGTCGCACCTGCGGAACTATGGGCGTAGGTGCAGTGTCCGCAGATGCGGATGGAGGGTGCAGAAGCGAGCTGGGTAAGAGCTGGGTGTTGCACATCTGCAATGTGTTTTCCGCGGGTGCGGGTGGTCGGGCAGTGAGTGGAACTCGCACATGCGACGCTACAAATGTGGCAGTTTTGTCCGCAGATGTGAAGATGCTTGGGCAGATCTCATATATTCGAGGGTTGAATTATTTTATCACATTTTGAGATTGGGAGCTCTGTTTTGAGCAATTGTTGAGGTGATTTTCTCCACTTGGATTGGGGTAAGTGTTCTTGACTCGGTTTTGATTATTATTGATGATTCCATCTTTGATTTTGGCATTTGAGTGATGAATCTAAAAGAGAAATTGGGAATTTTTGTCAAAACTTTTCTAAAGCGAATAATTGAGTTTTGAGCATCTATTTGGAGTCAGATTTGGATGAAACTAATATGGTTGGACTCGTATTCGAATGGGTTGCCGGAATTTGTGGGTTTTGTCGGGTTCCAAGGTGCGGGCCCAGGTTGACCTTTTGATTGACTTTGAGTATTTGATTAAAGATTCGCCCTTTATTGTTTGAGTTTGATTCCTATGGCATTATTTGATGTTTTTGAGTTGCTTTGGGCTAGTTTCGAGCCGTTCGGAGCTCGATTTGTGCGGGATGGCGCTTCTAGAGTATTGATTTGGCTTGCTTGAGCTAAGTATTTTACCTAAACTTGGTTCAGGCACTAGTTGCCTGAGTTATTTGTGATAGCTACATGTTATGGGTGGCGCACATGTGTGGGGTTGAGTCGTGTGTGTGCATCGGGATATTATTCATGTTCGGGATAGTGCTTAGGCTATGATATGCGTTGAATTGATTGCTAAGCTTCATGCTGTGATGTTTCTTATATTTGCACCCCTTTTGTGAGCTATTTGAACCGTGTTTGATGTTACATAGAGGTTAATCTCCTGATTGAACCTGATAATTGCTACTTTCGTGATGTAATTACCTGATTTGAGCTGTGGTAGCACACTACGCACATGCATACACCTTAGCATGTCACTTATACCAGTCCATGAGTATGTAATTTGATATTCATTGATCATGTACATGTAATCTTGGATATCTGCCTTCTGTGTGATATGAATTGGACTGGTAGCACGTGAATACGCCGTGTGGATTGTGATTATTGGCACGTGAACACCGTGCGGATTATGATTATTGGGATTTGAACACGCCATGCGAATTGTGATTATTGGCACGTGAACACACCGTGCGGGTTGTGATTATTAGCACGTGAATATGCCGTGCGGCTGATATTATGGCACGTGACTACGTCGTGCAGCGTGTGGATAGGATCCATCCTCCTAGGGTCACTCTCTCGTATTTCTCTCTTGATAGTGTACACGCGATATGAGAAAAGTTGATCAGTGATTTGGTTCGGTTATTGTGTTTCTAAGGAAAACTGGCCAGTGTTGATTTGGTTATTGCATTTTTCTTTGCAATTTCCTTGGATGTATACATGGTTTTTGCTGCATCTCTTCTCTATTTGCTAGCTCCAGAATATATACATGTCTTTATGGGATGATTTGAACATAAGAGGAGAGTGACATGCGAGAAGAACGGAAGAAAAAAACCACAGACATATGTCTTGCTAAAGGCAAGGAAAAGGAATTCAGGAACAAAGAAGAAGAGGGAACTTGAGAGACAGAAAAGAAGAGGAGGGCAAAGTTCAGAGGATGCTTTGAGCATATGACTGGACAATGCTGCAGGTACATAAAAGATGGCATAATAAGAATCTTCATCACCAATATCACTTTGTGTGATCTGCTGTGGATCTCCATTGCTACTCTCTATGACATTTTTTGTGCCACTTACTACATCTCTCAAATGTCTGTACCAGTGGCCATGACAAAAATGTTAAGTGATTGCAGTGAACTATTTTGTGGGACTAGAACAAGAAAGTTAAGAAGTACTACCTAATTGATTTGGGAAGAATTAATTCTCCAATAAAGATGGGGGGTTAGGGATTAGAGACTTGAGTGTTCAACTAAGTTTTACTAGGGAAGTGTTTTTGGAAGTTCCAAATGGAGGATCAAACTTTATGGAGAAAAGTTATTGGTGAGAAATATGGAGTCCAAATGGTGGGTTGGAGGACTAATCAGATCATTTTGCCATGTAAAGCAGCTCTGTGGAGAATACATTTTTTTTATACTGTTTTCTTTAATAAAATCTTACCTTATCCAAAAAAGAAGGAAAAAAAGAAGAAAAAGAATACACTTTTTGTGTAAAACTCTCTACTCTGGTTTATATCTTGCATGTGGGATTTCCTCATCGAATCAGTGAATTTTAGCTTCAGAAAGAGAAAATATTGCTATGTATACCGTTGTTTAACCTTCTTAAATCCCTTATTCTATCAACTCAACTATTAAACTAATAAAGCATACACAACAGCAGCCATGAAAGACAGAGAAAAAAATGATCTTTATATGCCTTTAGTTTGTATCCCTACAAGCACCTTTCTTGTACATTTACAATTCACGATTTAAATGTGACATGCACTGGTTCCTTAGGTATGGTATCCCTTGTCAAAAACACTTGCTGAAAAAGCTTCTTGGGAATTTGCCAAGGAAAGAGATTTGGATATTGTTGTGGTGAATCCAGGAACTGTAATGGGTCCCATGCTCCCACCAACTCTTAATGCCAGCATGCTCATGATGCTTCGTCTTCTTCAAGGTAACATCGAATAATGATCTCTACTCCTAGGTTTAACATGTCTCTCTATACCTAGAATGGGGTAGATTGTCATTCCCATTTTTATCCTATTCAATTAAAAGAATCAGTTCATTATTATATTGCCACCTACTGGTCTATTTCTTAAAGCTTTTGATGGGTATTTAGTTATGAAACTTTGTTGGTGGTGTCCTCAACATGACATGCCTTGTCATTTTATTTAATGCTCAGGCTGCACCGCTACATATGAAGATTTCTTTATGGGACTAGTCCATGTCAAGGATGTGGCATTAGCTCATATTCTTGTTTATGAAAACAATTCAGCAAAAGGAAGGCACATGTGTGTTGAAGCCATAACTCACTATGGTGACTTTGCGGCTAAGGTTGCAGAGCTTTACCCTGAATATAACATTCCTCGGTAATACTTTTTAATCTAACCTTGTTTGCCTAGTAAACTTGAATTTTGCGTGATCCTAGAGCTGCAGGCATTCGCTATCCCTCTTCTTTATCCACCCTCCACAAAAAGAAATTTCTAAAAGTCCTTCACTAATCTATCTAATCTGCTTTAATAACTGAAAGACTTTTCTGAAAATAAATTTGTTCTTCATTCCTCCCTGCTTCACATGTTGTCTCTGAAGTAAATGTACAAACTATACATGATTTCACTTGTTAATTGTGGATTTCCCTTCAAATGAGCTTCCATCTTCGATTTTCTTAGAGGTTGAATACCGTCTGCCATGACTTGCTCTTACTGCTTATTAGTAGTTTTCCCTTCGTTTCTTTTTCAATACAAACTTTGGGCTATAAAATTAAAAAAAAATACTGGAAAAATCCTCTTTGACCTTTAATCAATTTGAGTTTCTAGTAAAAAATTAGTTATTTTGCTCGTCTTGATCAGGTTGCCAAAAGATACTCAACCTGGACTATTAAGGGCCAAGGATGGAGGTAAGAAGTTGATGGATTTGGGACTGCAATTTATTGGCATGGACCAAATAATTAGGGATTCTGCTGAGAGTTTGAAGATCAAGGGTTTTATTTCTTAAATGTCCATAGCTGTCCCGTGGCATCTTCTGTACATGTTCATCAACTCGTACTAGCTGTAATTTGACCTATTTCGTCGTGCTGGAACGGATGACGTGATTTGTTATTTCAAGTCAACATCTTGAAATAAAACAAGTCACAAGTTGTAACACCTGTTATGTTCTTAGATATAACAACTTTCTAATGACAATGGCTTCGTGCATCGTGCTACCTTTTAATTAGTTAGAGGGGTAACGAACTACAAATGATACTTTTAGGGATCGTTTGGTTTGAATACGGCTTATGCTGGGATAAGTTATGTTGGGATTAGTTATCCAGGTATTCTTTTTTATCCACTGTTTGTATGTTGTATTAAAAATGGCAATTGCATAATTTCTAAGAGGAAGGTATAAGTTATCCCGACACTAATTACCACACCTCCTACAAGGTATAAGTTATCTCAGTACTAATTTTAATTCCGGAATAACTTATACTAAGTATGCTAACCAAACAAAATATTAAGGTGGTATTAAATTTTTTACCAGCACTATATCTGCTTATACCTCGTACTAAATGACTCCTTGTAGTGTTAAGTTTCCACTATCCAAACAAAAATACTTTAAGAGGGTTTTGGTGCACTTTTGTGACATACTCCTGATCCATATTATATTTGTCTTTCAAGGTTCTTGCACATCCTTCAATGAAGACTTTAGATAATCATAAGGCTATTTTGTCTAAATTGTAGGTTATTTAGACAAACAAGTGATAAATGACTTTTTGTTTTTCAAAATGTCAAATATTTTGAATGTAAGCTTTCTAAATAAATAATAAGGGAAATTACCAGTTGTGTCAGCCCTAAGTAAGTTAATACAAAATTAGTCAAGTTGTAAAATATTATCAATATTAGCCAATTAGCCTTTTGTAGCCAAAAATATTTTAAATTTTTTCTTTCTTTTGAGTGGGTGTTGTTGGAATAGGTTTGATTATATTAAGGGGTTTAAATCGTAATTATGGATGATTTTGGTAGAGTTTTGAAGTGGTTTGAATTGAAAATACGAAATAGAAGATGAACCTGAAAAAATATGATATGTGTATTACAATGTGTATCATTTGTGTGTCATATATGTATCATTTTTGTATCAAACGTGTATCACATATATATCCATGTATACCTGTTGTGAGCACCTAATTTTTTATCATGTTTAGATATTTTACAACTTTTTAGTATGTAAATAATTTTAAGTTTAATTTACATGTTTTAGCTTTTGTTTTACCTTTTTATAGATTTTATGTAAGAAAATTGAAAATGATAAAAAGAGTCACATTTTAGTATAGGTTTAATTTTTTATTTACAAAGAAAAAAAAGTTTTCAAAAAATAATTTATATAGCTTAGTGTAATTTGTAAGTTAGAGGTGTTAATAAATGAACATTGATTAATTAGTATTTGATCTTGCTATTTTAAATAGTAGTATTTTATCTTCTTTTTTTTTTTTAAAAAAAAATTGGTATTTCAAGTGTTCCTGTTTCCCTGTAATCACGTGCCCTTCCCCTCATTTTATTTTATTCACATATTCTTTATCTTTTGACCCAATATACTTTGGCCACCTCACCTTCTACATTATTTCCTTCCAATAAACTCGCAGATTCCATTCTTTGCACTATTCTTAAGGCACGGCAGACACATTTTGGAGAGATATATATTTTTTATCTTTCAGTTTTATTAGGATTTTCTCCATATTTATCAATTTTCCCATGTACTAATACCCATAATAATTCACATACACCTGCACTAGTTTGGGTAGGGACCACACGTTTCTCCTTATTCCATATGTAGCTCTATGAGCAAACTAGTGCAGAGCTAATTTCTACCCATAATAATAACTCACATACTCCTTTTTTTCCTTTCTCTCCAAAGCTCATAGAGCTCATATATGTAGCTCCTTATTCCTTTCGTCTCCGGTGATCTGGACGGATTTCATTTGAGGTCTTGTACACAGTTTTGTCAGCGTTTAAGTTTCAAAATTTTATCGATGAATCAAAGTCCAAATTCACTTTTAAGGTCCATTTCTCCACTGTTATTCTTAAGTATATTAATATATGACTTTGGTTTGATGAATGTTTGAACAGTAAAGTTAGTTCCTCTTGCTTGTGATATTGAGTTTAATCATTTATTTCTCTTACTGGTTTAATTCGGTTTGTAATCGTAAGTTTCTTTTTCCGATTTGAAATCACGTTTCCCTTATGTATGGGGGTAAAATTTGTTTATAATAAATGGTCGAATGATAACATGACACGTCGAATCAAAGACAGGTAAAAGACTAGTCAAGTAACAACAAATACCGGGAACAACAACTACAATCGACACTGGGTAAGTTAGAAGGGAGCATGTTCAACGGGAACAAATCGAGTATTTGTCACGGTATAGCATTCAATGAGAGAATATTCTCTAACGTTAATGAGCAACCATTACAGAGAATATTTGTATTCATGGCCCGTCGTTACATATTTATTAATGACTTCTTTATTATCATTTAAGTGGGGTTTGATCATAGGATCTGGTTTCCCTAGGTATAACTATAAATAGCAGGCTCAACAGCCATTGTAACACACAAAATTCTGGGAGAAACACATGCTATATTTTACTTTCGCTCTCAATTAAACAACTTTATCTTCTCTTTGTCATTGCTTTTATTTTTTTCGCGGAGATATTGCGCTCGGAGCCAGGCTTGTCATCTTCTTCAATTTCTATTGCTAAGTCTTATTTTTATCAATATCTTGTCTATGAACCACATAACAAATTGAATTGTACCGTTTTGCGGGTAAATAGTTTGACGCTCACAGTGGGGCTTAGACGATTGCATAATTGCTTTGATCCTTACGTTTGTTACTAACGTGTTTGATTTTTCCCTAGCAAGAAATTAGAAATGGTAGCTAATGATGTCAACAACACGCACAACGTTGAGGGTCACGAAGATTTGCCTCAACATGAAGATTCAATCACTGACACCCGTAACGAAGGGGACGAAGCAACACCGGTTCATGAAGGGATATACCTCTGACATGTGCGAGAGCCAACACCCGATGACGCGAAGGAAGAACATGTCGTGGAAACGGAGAAAATCTTAAGAGAACAACAAAAGGCAATAATGAGTCATCTCTCAAGCAAGACCGGGTAATGACGAAGTTAAAACAAGCGTTATCATATGCTTCCAATATTACAAATGGAAGGGGGTCAGCTCCTCCTAGTGCTCCTGCAAATCAAACAACTCAAAGAGTCGATAATAACACCCCAAGGAGGGAGGGAGGTTTCGATGGTGCCGGAGGGACCAGTAGCAGATCTGGGAATCAGAACGGAAATGACCCCTTCAACACCGAGCTCATGAGGTCCATAAGGGAAATGAACAAACGGATGGATAAAAATGCGAAGGAGTTTTATGCCCAAATGGATCAGATTTCGGGTGCACCATCAGTTCTAAAGGCCAAGATTTGAAAAATACACGCAAATTGCCATTTAAGCCGAGCGCAATGCCAAAGTTAATTTTGAAGAGGTTCAAGATGTTGGACATACCAAAATACGATGGGACTTCGGATCCGCAGGAGCACATCACAACCTACACCACGGCTATGAAAGGGAACGATTTGGCTCAATATGAGATCGAATCGGTCTTACTAAAGAAGTTTGGTGAAACCCTTACAAAGGGGGCTCTGACATGGTATTTACTCTTATCCAAACATTCAATTGACTCTTTTGAAAGGCTTGCAGATTCATTTATCAAGGCCCATGCTGGGGCAAAGAAGGTACAAGCCAGAAAGGCAAACATATTCAGGATTATGCAAGGTGAGTCCGAAATTTGCGAGAATTCATGATCCGATTCTAGAAAAAAGGATGCTACTACCAGTTGTACCAAATGAGTGGGCAGCGGAGGCGTTCATAAAGGGTTTGAATCTGCGAAGCTCCGACGCCTCCCAAAATTTGAAGGAAAGACTGCTCGAATTCCCAACAACCACATGGGCGGATGTCCATAGCTGTTACGAGTCAAAAATAAGAATAAGAGACGATCATCTTGGGTTCTCGACGTTAACCAAGGGAAGGGACCGAGGAAAAAACCAAGACAAGTTTAAAAGTGACTTTGATACGGATCAGCGATCTTCTAAATGTCATTTCTTGCTGCATGAACGAACCGAGGGACGCAATAGCAAAGGGTTTTGGTCCTAGGACAGGTTCATTCCCGATAGAAGAATCAGCTGTGGCTGGAACAATAGGTCATTACAAGGAAAAGAGGTACTGGGGACCCAGGATTCCACATATCCCAAGTTACCAGATTATAACTTCAACATTAGCATAGTGGAGTTGGTGTCGACGATGAGGAATATCAAAGAAGCGCGATTCCCGAAGCCAATCAAATCCGATCCTTGCTAGAGAGATCCTAACTTGGGGTGTGAATATCATGGGACTCGCACCCAAAGAACTGGGAACTGCCGATATTTACGAGAAGAGGTGGCGACATTGTTGAAGAATGGCTATCTCAGGGAATTTTTAAGCGATATCCAAAAATAACTACGGCCGAGCCGGGACAATGCAGAGCCTTCAAAGGTGGTAGAAGACTCTCCTCGGCTAACTATCAACATGATTTTTGGAGGGAAGAAATCAATGGTGTAACCTTCTTGGCGACCAAGAAAATGAAGATATCGGTGACTCACAAAAGATGATATCACCTTCATGGAGGAACACGCTGATAGACTCCTTCTACATAATGACGCTCTGGTAATCTCTCTTAATGTTTTATATTTCAAAATTAAGCGTGTTTTGGTTGACCTAGGAAGCTCAGCCAACATCATCCAATGGAGAGTGTTGGAGCAAGCAAAGTTGACCGGAAGCATCATACCGGCGACAAAACTCTTAGTTGTGTTCAACGTGACAAGTGTGACAGCCCGAGGTGAGATCTTGTTGCCCACGAATGCTGAGGAGGTAACCAAAACTACCTTATTCGAAGTGGTAGATGGTAACATGGGCTACAACGTAATCCGCAGGAGGCCGTGGATACACAAGATGAAGGTTGTGCCCTCAATATATGACCAACTACTGAAATTCCCAATCCTGGAAGGAACAAAAAAGATAAGAGGAGACCAAATAGATAAGGCGTTCCCTAAAGACTCGTTCACCAAACATTGATCAAATGAATGATGCTACGACCGGACACGAGTTGATGAGTTTTCTTGATGCTTACTTTGGGTACAATCAAATCAAAATGAACTCGGGGGATCAAGAAAAAACTTAGTTCATAACGAATTTTGGCATATACTGTTACAATGTGATACTATTTGGGCTTAAGAACGCCGGAGCCACTTAT